ACTGAAGAATGCAGAGCATGCTAATATTTGTTATGTTTTGCCTGCTGGGAAGGGGATATTCCAAGTCCAAGAAAGGCAGTCCTCATATACTGTAGATGTCATCGGCAAGCACTGTGATTGCAGAAGATGGGACCTTACTGGTATTCCTTGTTGTCATGCCATAGCTTGCATCAGAGAGGAGAGGCTGTCTGAACAAGACTTTCTGCCATTCTGCTACTCAATTGAGGCTTTCAAGAGTGTATAAGCCAACAACATCATGCCATGTAGTGACAGGGCCAACTGGGAGAAGATGAATGGGCCACAAGTTCTGCCTCCAGCGTATGAGAAGAAAGTTGGCAAACCCAAGAAAACAAGAAGGAAGCACCCTACAGAAGTGCAAGGCAAGAATGGCCCAAAACTCACCAAGCATGGTGTAATCATCCATTGCAGTTACTGCCATGAGCCAAATCACAACAAAAAGGGTTGTCCAATGAGGAAGAAAGGGATCAAGCCCAACATACAGATCAGAAAGAAGAAGGATGTAGCTCCAGGAAGTCAAGAGCCCAGTATAACTCAGGTGAAGATTTTTTCTTTCACAAATGTGAAGCAAAATATGCTGATTACTAACCATATTATCTTGCAGGAAATGATGGGCACACAACCTAGAACAAGTACTGGATTGCTAAATGAGGTTAATGACAATATGCTCAGTGTGATGATGGCAGAGGTGCACTTCTTTTCATCTATGTATTTCCTACAACTGCACATGTACTGAATTAACTCTACCTATAAATCTAATTTTGGTTTGTTTGCAGTCTTCACAGCCCAGTCAGATAACTCAACAGCAAGGTCCATTGCCAAATTCTGTTTTCATTCAGCAAAACCAACCTTCCACAAGACCTGTTTGCTCTGACCACTGCAACCAAAGAAGGAAGAGCAAAGATTACCAAGGCAAAGAAGAAGGTAGGAAGTACTACAAAGAAGAAGAAGGTAGATCTCACTCAGCAGGAAGAAGATGTTGCTTCAAGGAAGAAGAAGAGGACTTCACCAGGCAACCAGTGATGCGAAGAAGGATGCACCTGGTGGCAACTATGCACATTTTGTTCATATTAGATAGGTTTGTATAGCACTTATCCCTAGTATTGTCATGTACTGAAGTTGAACAATGCACATGTCATGCCAAAAACTATGCCCTTTTGGATAGAACAGATAGGCCAACATGCCAATACTTCTGCTAGACAGTTATGGTTCTTTTATGTAAGCTGTGATACTAATTATGTCAGCTGTGGTACTGATTATGTGTTGAGGTTGAACCCTGGTATTATCATGCAATGAAGTGGCCACTTCTTTTCATATCAATTATCTCTTTGTTTCTGTCAACAATGTGCTTGCCATAATAAACTGAAACTCAAGTGCTTGCTAGACAAGCAGTCCTCATTTTTGTAACCACATTTGATGCCCTGAATCCTGCTGATTACTAACCATATTTTTTTTGCAATTCAGATATAAACCAGTGAAACTACCAACATCAACATATATTTGACACACATACTGATTTAGACCCACTGAAATCAACAGAAATATACAGATTTATTCCTATTGATAGCACAAACACAAAAACCACTTGGATAACATTTAATTCACATCACTGTTCTATTAGTCAATAAGCAACACATTACATGAGTCTTTCAATTTTCTTCATCACTTCATCATAAGAACAACCAAAATACAAACTAAAACAGCAACACCTAACCAACCTAGGACCAACATGTTCTTCAGTACCACTACTAATTCTCTTCCAATGGACACTGCAGTAATCAATGTCTGCTTTAATTCATCACCATCTTCCCTCTAAACTTTGGTTTCATCCAATTGTCCTGCATTCTTCAAGCTTGCAGCAACTTGTGCATTCACATGTGCAGCCTCTTCTCCAGCAATTAACCCATTCTTCTTCAAATATTTCATGTATCTTTCCTCCCAAAACCAAAAGTTACACCCAGATCCATCTTTCTACACCATTAAGAACAAATGTCACCTCAAACTGAACTCAACACCACAACACACCAAATTCAATCAACTATTGCTCACCTCGTGGTCAGGGCAAGTGTAGAAAATGCGATCTGGATTACTAGCTGTCTTCGATGTGCGCTTCACGACGGTTTTATTCTCGCACGATGGGCACAGGATCAATGGTACCTTCTTCCGGCGAGTACAAGCGGAGGCCGGGCTTGAAGAAGCCATGGGGGCCGCGACCAGTCCTTGGCTACCACCCGTCATGGCCTCCCCGCCGCACTTGGTTGCCTCCTGCCGTCGCCTCGCCACCGCAGTTGCTTGCCTCCCGCCGTCGCCTCGCCGCCGCGGAGCTCACCGCTGCCGAGCGTCCAAACCCTAGACGAATTGGGGATTTTGGGGGATTCGGCGATGTACATCGGGACGACACGTTGGCGGTAAGGCACGTAGGGGGGAAAATGTAAAATTTCCAACGGCTTCGATGCGGAGGGGGCCGATTGCAAAATCGATGCCCACGTGGCACGCCACGTTGGCAGTCAGACGCGGTCAATCCCCGATTGGACCCGCCCTGGTACATTAAACCAAGATTACGGACCTAAACGTGCAGTTTTCAAGTTTATGAACTAAACTGACACCACCCCACAAGTTTAGGGACCGGCCGTGTACTTTACTCTAAAAAATAACTCAAACAATTTTTACAAATATATTATAGATAAATATATTAGTCAAATGAGCGATGCAATCTTGTACCTAGTGTTTTATGGAACATTTTGCTATAAAACTTAAGATTTTCTAAAATAAATTGTAAAACCTGAGGTTTTGTGTTACGGAAGAATTTACTCAAAAAGAATATATCCTCCTTAGAGCATCTCCAGCAGGGGTACTAAACACACAGCCCCTAAACAAAATTTGAGAGGTGAGACAAAAAATTCAGGTCCAACAAAGCCCCTACTAAAGCCCCTAAAATAGGAAGGCCTCCAAATTATCCCCTCAAGCCCCCAGGCCTAGGGGCCTTCTCCCTGGCCCCTATTCCACGCGCGGGAGAGAAGTCCCACAACCACCGAGCCGCGCGCTCTTTTTTTTCGCGCGAAAACTTCTGCTAGCGCCGCTGCTAAATCCTCTCCTCCGCATGCGCGCCGCCTGGATCAGCGCCGTCCTCTCCGACTGGCCAACTCCTTCCTCGCCGCACTCCTCCCCGGCGAATCATCTCCCTGGCCGGCAACCTCCTCCCTGGCGGCCTCCTGCCCTACTAGCCACCTGGCTACCCGGCGGCCTCCTCCCTGGCGCCCTTCCTCTCGGCTGCCAGCCTGCCCGACGCCCTCTACCCCGGCAGACCACCTCCACGTTCTGCGCCCTTCTCCCCAGCCAGCAATAGTCGAAGGTATTGCGGTGATATGGAGACAGACAATGACATGTTGGTGAGCAATTTTCGTTTTCAGTGGTGAATTATAAATCTTGGTTGCGTGTTGTTGTATATGGCATTGTGCCCACACCATATTTACATGTTTGAAAATTTTGATTTTGGATTTGAATTGTGGCGTTTGAAATTGTAAATTTAACTATGGTTAAATTATACGTGTTAGAAATATTTATGTTTAATTATTGTGGTGTTAAAGATAGTGTAAACAAGGATTGCATGCGAAAATAAGAGAGAAACATGAGTAGGGGCTAAGAAATAGGGGCTATTGCTAGAGTTGGAGGTATTTTTTAAGTCCTTGGGAGATGGGGGCAGCCCTCATTTAACTTTTAGGGGCTTTAAAATAAGGTCTATCGCTGGATATGCTCTTAGTTTTTAGTTTCTCGCACTCCGCCTCCGTCGTCCGCCAGAAACGGATCCTCTGACTTTAGATGCAAAGTCATGGTCTTGCAGTTCACTTCATCCCAGCCAACCACTGCATCCAACGGCACACATCCATCTTCCTCTCATTTGCCTGCATACTGCGCGGCTCAGTTTGGCCTGCAGGCTGCAGCTCTATTTCTGTAGCCATCGGGCCGCAATGGCTTTGCTGAATTGATGTATGCTGTTGCCTGCTACTACATGCATGAACGCAAAGGTCAAGGTTGTAACCAGAACAACAGAACCTGAGGTGCAGAAGCATAAAACTGATATAAACCATTTGGAATAATTCAGAATAAGACCTAAATTTCAAGTAGCATCATTCATGCACTGCAAATGAACAATTGAGTTTTTTTTTTTACAGCACTATAAGGCAAAGGCTATTGTGACTAAAACAGTAGGATTGGCAAAAAAAAACCCAAAAGTATTGCACTGAATACAAGCTCCATAAGTAAAATAATTCTTCAGTGCAAAGGTCATCAGAAATTTGAACCTGCAAAAATTTACCAACTACCCAACTAGGTACCACACTCTCGCTGGAAAAAGAAACATGTGCAACACACAAGTTCAGAGAAAAGACACATCAATAATAAAAAGGGTCTTGACTCTTGAAATCAATCTCGTTACCAATTAGATTACATTGCTTTCTAATTGGTACTTAGACATCCATAACAACACTCAAAATTCATCACCTTATATCACCAATGACAAACAAATATTATTTCTATTTACCAGTAGGATCCATGGTGCTCTCGTTGAGCCTCTTCTTCCATTTCTTCACCAAAGCAGGAATTGACCGATGGTGGAAGATGGATCTACAATTGATTGCTTCTTGCTTCCCCTGGCACTTCATTGCTTTGTTTTCTTTTAGAACTGAGAAAAAAGGAATAGATCTAGGGTGTTCTATGGACACAGGTCGTCTACAGTACTGCAGGGGATCTCAATTGGTGTTCTATACTCTGGCGCCAAAACTGAGCGAGGGCTGCCTTTTTCCCTCCATTATCCAGAACTGCACCTCTGTTTTTCCCGCGCCGACCGCGTGCTGTGCTATTGGGAGTATACAGTCAAATAAGGGGAAGATGGATGTGTGCCGTTGGATGTAGTGGTTGGCTGGGATGAAGTGAACGGCAAGACTGTGACTTTCCATCCAAAGTCAGAGGATCCGTTTCCTCGTCCGCCTCTGGCGCCTCCTTACCTAGCCATCGCATCGCCCCCCTTCTCATCATCCCCATGCCTCGCCTCGCCTGAACACCCGCGCCCGCGGCAACGGCCTGGCCCGTCTACCCTACCCCCCCCCCCCTCCTCCATGGCGCTCCTGCTCCGCCGCCTCATCCCGCGCCACTACGCCAACCGCGCCGCCTCCGCCGCCCTCGCCCTCGACCCGCCGCCGGCTCCGGCCATGGTGAGTGCTCCTATCATCCCTCCCCTCCCGTTCTTTCCGGTGGCCGCGCACGAGCTTAGGGTTTAACGCCGCGGGTTTCGGTGTATGCGGTTGCGCGCGCTCGCCCGCGCGCGTGGCTGCCGGCGGTGCGGTGAGCGGCACCTGTTCGTCGCTTTGCCTGCCCGGGTGGTCGTCGTGTTTAATCAGGAAATATGTGCGCGCGCTCTGGAAAATGGGTAGAGGCAGTGACAGTGTTCCTTGCTGGGCCTTTTTTTTTTTTTTGGCTGTGCCTTGCGGCATTGCGGCATGTGATGGAGTTCGTTTTCTTTTTCTTTTTTGAGATAGTGATGGAGTTCGTTGGTGGTGGTAGCTTCTGCTGAAAATCAGCTGTGGTTTCACCTGATACCTGCTCCATTTTATTCGAGAAAAAAATATTATATGACACTGAAAGATCATAACTTCAGCAATTTTACCATTGGAAGGCCCATTGCATTTAAATGCAACCTGAAGATCCTAAAAGTTTAGGAATTTACCATTCCATCAACTCCTGTTGCACATTTTCTGCATTCCTTCTCCTTTTGTTTCAAAACCCGCATATCTGCCCTTGGGTAAACATATTGGTCTAATAAGGCTATCCATCTATTTCTTCTTGGGTCGAAAAGAAAAGAAGCTTTTTCCTGGAAAACGAAGGGAAAAAAAAGTTGGTGGTTGTGCATTCTTGCACCGATAGGACTCTCACCACTGGGTGCATCTTCATCGATGCTCTTTGCTGCCCCCATCTCCATGTTTCCACCCTTCTCAACCCTCAGCTAAGCACTCAGGTTCCTGTGATTATGCTTGTCAAACGTGAGAACTTAGAACTTTGTCAAGTTTGAATTGTCAAGAGGATGGGGGGGGGGGGGGGGAGCAACTCTAGTCTCCAGAGGAAAGGGTGCTAGAGCGGTTCCCAGAGATTGCTTGAGTGACAGGGTGCGGGCAGTAGTGCCGAATGAGTGTGCGTGCGGCAACGGAATAGGGGTAGATGCTTCCAGTGAAATGGCTTGTGAGAGCCAGGGGAATAATTGTCCATTTTGGTGGCAGTAAGGAGTACAGGAATTGATGGAATGGAAATTCCTAAACTTTGCCGTTTTTCAATAGTATTTAATTACACTGCAATCTTCCATGGTAAACTACTGAAGTTTGATATTTCGTGTCTCAAAACTAATTTGGAACATGACAAAGGATTCTGCATGATTCTGCTGTGTTCTACTTTGATTATAGTATGTCACTCAGAATTTTACTTGTTCTCTAAGTATTAGCTATGTGCTACCTTTTCAGCTTGGTGTATCTCAGAGATGTTCTTACACTTTCATGCCTTATTCACCTTTCCGTCCATGTGAAATGTGTGGAGTTTCAGTAACTAATAATTCATCAAGGCAGTTGTCTTCAATTCGTTCCCGTCTTCCCGTAAGGCTCAAAAGTGGTTCCTTTTTTGCTACTGGGCTCATGAGCAATCACAATTTTGTGACTAATAATATTGGTAATTCACGGTGCTTTCTGACTGTGTGCAATAAAAATCTGAGTTTTCTCATCAGAAATAAGAGTTTATTTGGTAATCCAAATATGAGAAGGGAAGAAGGGAGTGATATGCACAGTTTGTTTCATAGATCTGAGAAAAAGAAAAGCACATTACCTTCTTGTAGCATCATCACTGATGAGGCTTCAACATCAACTAGCAACCACAGTAAGAGTGCTATTGGTACTGAAAATAGTTCAACAAGCAGAATAAAGGACGTTAGTGAAGATAAGAAGGTATCTATCAAGAAACAGAGCAAATCTGCTAAAACTATTGCGGCAGCAAAGATTGGGACAACTGATGTGAGCGAAGAAGAAAACAAGCGTGAAATTTCCAAATCAGAAAAGAATGCCAATATTTCTAGAGATAAGAAGACATCAAACAGGTTGAAGAAATTTTCAAAAGCAAAGAAATCTGCTGCTGCTAAAGCTGAAATTTGTACGAAGAGTTCTGTTGATAGTTCTGATAGTGAGCAGAAACCACTTGTTCCTCTTTACCCTCCCACAGCTAAATCAGTTATTGTTGTTGAATCAGTTACAAAAGCAAAAGTTATTCAAAAATACCTTGGCGACATGTATGAAGTGTTGCCTAGTTATGGCCATGTGAGAGATTTGGCTGGAAGATCGAAATCTGTTCGCCCTGATGATGACTTCAGTATGGTGTGGGAGGTGCCTGCTGCTGCCTGGACACATCTTAAGAGAATAAGAACGGCGTTGAGAGGGTATGGTTTTCTAGTTGATGTAGTATGGTTAACATTTTCAAATTTTGTCGACATGAAATATATCTTTGCTTACCTCTTTTGAAAAATAAGGTGCTTCCAAACCATTGTCACCAGGGTTGAGGTCAATGTCATGTTCCATGACCCTGGATTGACATCCTTAATTATAGTTGCTGCCAATCTTGATACACAGCCAGTATTTGCTGGGAATCCTGAAGAGAACTTCCCCACTCCAATCCACATCTTTAGTGACCATATTTCCACCACCCTTATCCCATGTTCATATTTGTCGACCCAGTTGGTTGATCAGGTTGTCGTGACCATGCTAAAAATGTCTGCTGATTTCTATGTAGTCATTTTCCATCTTGCAAACATCACACATATTAAGGGACATAATCATTAGATGTTGGTTTTCTGCCTTACCAATTCTAAAGATAAAGAAACACACGATCCCATAATTTTCGTATAAAATCAATTGCATATATGCTTCATAAGTTATTGTGAAACATCATACACCAATATCCTCGTTTTATGCAAGTTAGTAACTAATAAATGATTGTTTGGTTACTTCTCATCCTCTTTTGGATGTAATGGTGTTTAAGCCTTTTGAAAGCATCTGCTGTAAGTTGGGAGATCCTACTAGTTTACCCTTGAGCATAAACTTGATCATCACATTCTATGTCTTGGATACTCCTTATCTAGAAGTTTTAAATCACAGTTGTTTATTTACTTATTTTTCTTTGAATTTACAATCTTATACTTCATTTGGTCACAAATACTTAATGTTTCGGACAAAATCTGGTGAAACTTTAGAAAAATTGACTATCAATGACTTTAAAATACTTAGCTTGAAACATACAATGGTATGTATAGATTTATCTTGAAAAGTACTTTCATAATTATTTAAACTTACTAGATTTTATGAACTTAGTCTAACATAAGATTCTGTTCATAATCACACATCAAAGACCTTGAAAATGAAGGGGTCAAACACCAGGGTAAAAATAATTTATGGCTATACTGGTAAAAATAATTTACAAGTTTAAATTGCATATTGAATTGTTATTCGTTGGATACCTCAGACTGCCTTTTGCTTTATATCTGTCTTATGGTTATATTATGTGGTAGTTTGAGCTCTTTTTTTTTAGACTGGTAATTTGAACTGGTTCAGGAATAACTAACAGTATAATGCGTACTAATGTTTGTTTCTGTTATAATTGCTTTGTCTTTTTTCCTTCCTCAGAGCAGAAAATTTGATTCTTGCGTCTGATCCTGACCGTGAAGGGGAAACAATTGCTTGGCATATCAAAGAAATGCTTGAACGACAAGACGCTTTGGGTTGTAATGTTACTGTTGCCAGAGTTGTCTTTCATGAAATAACAGAGGATGCTGTTAAAAATGCTTTAATGTCTCCAAGATATATTGATATGAACCTAATTAATGCCTATCTAGCACGACGTTCCCTTGATTATTTGATTGGGTTTGGCATATCACCGCTGTTATGGAGGAAGTTGCCTGGTTGCCAGTCAGCTGGACGAGACCAATTTGCGGCGTTGGCTCTTCTGTGTGATCGAGAGGCTGAAATAGAACAGTTTAACCCAGAAGAGTATTGGACTATTGATACTGACTTCAAAACCCAACATTCCGGCCCTTCAAATGGCCTGAACCTTCAAGCCCAGATAAAGCATTTGAATTCAAAAAAGTTGGATCAACTTTCTATATGGTCTCAAGAAGAAGCACAAGATATAGAGAAGAGGATTTATTCGTCTCAATTTGAAGTAATAGGAATTAAGAGAAGTAAAATTCACAAGAATCCTCCTATGCCATATATAACATCTAGCCTTCAGCAGGATGCAGCAAACAAACTACATTTTAGTGCTGGGTATACCATGAAGGTTGTCAGTTCAAATTCAGATGCGTATATAATATTTCCTATTATAGTAATGCAATTTAGATGTAGCTATCTTTTGCCTCACATGGTTTTCAATGTGATTGCAGATAGCCCAAAAGCTTTATGAGGGGATCACCCTTTCCTCAGAAGACGCAACTGGGTTAATTACATACATCCGAACAGATGGCTTTCATGTAGGTACCATCCTACCTTTCCTTTCTGACCAAATCATCATTATCTTTATAACTATTGATAGTGTAAAAATATTGCTTTGGTCCATATCCATAGTTACGGGTTAAAATGGTTCATCCAAAATAAACAAATTAATTTGCTCCCACTATATAAAAGTGTCTTTACCTTTCTTAAGGTATAAAGCATTATTCAATCTTTATAGAAGTTTTATAGACTAGGGCCTTTTAACATATAGTGACAGTGACACTTTCTGCCATGAAACTAATTTGTCAGTGCTTAAAAGGTTCTTATTTGATGCACAGATCATTTTGGTATGCCATGTCAAAAAATACTTTTGTTATGATAACGGTAATGCCATATGGAAAGAGTCCGAACAACATGACCATGAATGGGAGGATCAAGGTAGCTTAGGAGATAAGAGGCAGCATGTATTCTCTAGGGATGTTGTTTTATCTTCATCGTTGGTGAGATCAAAGTTGTGTACTTCTGATCTCAAGAGGGAGAGGTGGCATTGAAGAGGCTCTAGGGTGGGGGAGATAGAGTTGTTTTGAGATGGTTGTATCTATGGGCCATTCCGTGTGTAGCTTCCCTGTGACAGCTGTCTTCAAAAGTAAATTAACTTCTGTTGGGAGGGAAATTCCAAATTCCTAACAAATGGATAAATGGCATGCCCAAGTTTTTTTTTAAAAGTAACACTGCCAGAGTGCCAGGCAATGTCCAGCAGTTTAAATTTTATAAATATAAATTAAAAGAGCTTCACAGATCTTGTAACTATTAACAACTATGTTTCTAAGAGGTTCATTCATCCTACAAATATGAAGGAGAATATCTTTTTCAAAAGATGATTATCTACCCGATCTCCAGATATGTCTACTTATCTGCTTCCTCAAGACAAAATTAACTGTTGAGTGACCTCTCCAAGTTCCAATAACTCGTATGCTTGTTCAGATAATGGCAAATGATATTCATCTTGTGGTTGCCTGGCCAACATGGCCTCAACTAAATCTACGGAAAATTTGGCAAAAGAATGCAGTCTTGAAAATTGATTACTAAGCACTGCGTCTCACCAAAGATCATCCCAGAAAAGGATTGTATTTCCCAACTGAACTGAACAAGCAGTGCCTCTGAATATGTTGGAACCTTTGTTATTCACAACATGGGGCACCTTACTTTTATAGTAACTTATCCAAATCAAATTAACCCATGACAAGTTGCTATGATTGTAGAATTTATCCAGATTATTTAGTAGAAGTGCTTCATTTTGTACCCTTAAATCAATACTACCCCAAGCCCCCTTTAGCCTTTGGCATGCCCAATTTGGACACTATGTCTAACATGAATGCGTACCCCAGCCTGTATATCAGTGCTACACAGGTTAGAATAATCGCTGCCTGCAATAACAAGATTGTGGTGAATTTTATATTTTTTCCAGTGATACATGCATAAAAAAAGCTATATGCATTCATTGGCAAGAAGTCGAATTTCTGCATGTTTGAGGAAAAAAAGTCTAGGTTTTTATTATATTTTGCATCATTATTGCAATGAGTAGATAAATTGTTTTTATTTTTCCTTTTTTTTTTTGGCTCAAGTAGAGGACCTAGTTTGATCCTTCCTATGAGCAAAGCATGCAAACAGGGGGATATCAGTTTACCTAATGAAAAAACCTACCCTGTCTGCAACATCTAATTTCCAGTCTGGATTGAGAGCTCTAATGAGTTCTAACCTATCTTTGGAACAAACTGACTGATCCTAGTCCCAGTCCTAACATTTAAATTGGCGGTACTCATCATCATTTCGATTCATGTATGTATAAGTAGGTATAGTAGTAATTTTAACTAGAAATTTCAAATTATCCGATTTGGTGATTCATCAATATATGACATGCAGTACTCACTATCCCTTTACGTCAGAATTTCCTTTCATCTCAATATATGATATGCATGATACTGTACTTGTTTTAATAGCCTCAAATTGTCATCTTACTTGTATGGTCGGTGTTTTCCCTTGAAGATTTCTGATGTAGCTGCAGAAGATATTCTTTCATTAGTAAAGCAAAGGTACGCTCTACTGGAGCATCTAGTCAAGTGGTTTTTTGTTGGTTGATATCTACTGTTTCACTTGTAATTTATAAGTTATTGTAGTGCCCAATAATCTGAATTCCTAGTTTCTCAATTCATGATTGGAAGTGTGCACATTTCTCATGGTTATTCACGATTATTTTAATAGCAATAAGTTTTCTTTTTTTTTTTTTGCTGAGAACATTGTTTTTCAGGATGTATATGATGGGGCATATTTATGAATCACTTTATTTAAATTCGATTCAAATCAATTAATTTAATCTATTTATTTGTTGTGAAGATACATTTGATTACATGGTCGGAGCAGTTCCTGTTCTTTGGTTGTTGATTTTTGTTGTTTCCTAATTGATAATTCATACCATCAGAAGAAAATACCATTGCTTCTTTTGTTCCAGTTATTTACCATCAAAATGTTTCACTCTTTAGAGAAAAAAGAACAATCTGTCACCATCTACTAGCTCCTTGTGCTGTTTGGATGTGCGGAGGGAATGATGTCCTGTGAAATGTTAAAAAATACCTGCTCAAAAGGAACAATTCTTGAACTAGATATTTCATTTCATTTCATGCGGATGTATCAAGTTTTGTACGGGTAAAATCAGATCCAAGAGATAATAACGTATTCCAATGGCTATTGTCATGAAGACATCATGTACCCAAACATATGTAAGAGATTAATTTCAACCATATTAAGATGTCAGTAGCAGCAGAAACATCCACATTCTATTTGAAGTTTTCATGCTGTTGATGCTTCAGCCATGCTCAACCAAGTGTGAAGCACCTCCTTCCGAGGGGGATATGATGAGTGGAAAGGCCAGAGATGGATAAGCCTAGATAAATTAAAGAATGAAGGATGGAATTAGCTGACATGCATGGGCTAGGGAGGAATCAATGAACCACAGGAATACTTAGGCATGGCTGGCATGCACCATGTGGAAAGTGGAATCAATGGGAGGTATTATGCAATGGAAAATTGACACAAGTGTGACAGTGCTATTTATCTCATTTTTGTGTCCTGTTTTTAGATGAAAACTTTTTTGTGTCCTTCTGGTGGTACATAACCAAACAAAAGATCTTTACTGGTATTTTTCAAACTTAACATCATTGGATGGTATAGAATTTTTTTTCCTTATTACTATCATGGCTTGGTCAATCCTGAATGAGGTAGTCTCAAATAATCAGTATCATCAGTTATTGACAGTTTACCTTTTTCACTTTATGTGTTCCAGCATGTGCTGCATGTCATTTGCAACCTGCATGTTTTAACAAGCATTTTTTTTAGGTATGGTGAGGAATATGCTTCAGAGGGCATTAGAAAATACTTCAAGAAGGTGAAAAACGCTCAAGAATCGCATGAAGCCATAAGGCCAACCAGCATAAGGAGGTTACCGTGTAATGAAATCTACCTGTTGCCCTATGTAATTTATTGTGTTCTATCTATTTTAGATGATGCATTTCATCTAGCAACTTTATTTGGTTTCAGACTTAATTTAAAATATACCTAATTGCCTTGTGGAGATAGCAATGTAAATATAGAATTATCGTATGTACATGACCAAATTTGTTGCGTACCAAACATGACTATAAAACAGAGTTGTGGAGATCTGTTATGTATTGATCAACTTCTAGTTTTCCAGATTTCATAGATGGGCAATATTTTGTCACTTCCTACCTACTGAAAGCTTTGAATACAACATTTTAATTATGTTAGTATCCAAAAAATTGTTTGTATTATGCCGTACTTACTCATTTGTCCTTCTTGCTTTTTCTTTTTTCTAAAACAATGTTCAGTTGCTCACAATATTTTTTATGCACTTCTAGCGAAGCATCAAATGCCTGCTACACTACTGTGGCAACCTGTTGCAAACCTAGAAATATAATTAAAGCTTATAAATTTGTAAACATCACACTTAAAACATTGACGAACAACTGTTTTGCTTGGTATATGTAATGGTTATCTGTTAAAATGGTATATTGTATAGTATAGTTGGCAGCAGTGTTCGAGTAACTTGTTTTGTGGTTGAAATGTGAGCCCCAGCAAGATGATGAATTCCATGAAAGTTTGTGATTTTCATTTGAAAATTCGAAACAAATCGAGCGATTCGGGGGAGCTCCAAATTTTGTGACCATACTGAAAGCACCAGAACTAACAATTAAAACATGTATAATACCAAGGAAAATATTATACGTGTTTTAATTGTTATCTGTTATTCCCTCCGCCCCAAAATAAATCAATGTTTGTACACGAATCTGGACATATGCTATGTCCATATTGGTGTACAAAGTTTGACTTATTTTGGGACGGATGGAGTAAAATATATACTGTATAATTTAGTTCACAGTAAAACTTTTCTTTGAAGTATCCACTCTCTGTCTCACTGTTCAACACCTAGCATATCCCTGCTTAATTCACAAGCAGCCTCGAGTAACATTTTTTCTAAATATTGCTTTTGACCATCTTTGCATCATTTTAGGAGAAATGGTTTGCCATTTGCTGTGAATATATTTTCACCTGAGGTCGGCATCTGCTTTAGGATTAAAGTACCTGAAGGATGAATTTTGTTAAAATTTTGAAGTTTGGGTTGCTAAATAATAAACTTTGGTTTTGCTTAATTTCTGCAGCCTATTTAGGTCTTGGTATAAGTTTCTGTCTTTTGATATATAGTTCTGTCGTAATATACCTTGCAGCATCTTTGGTCAGTACACTTGATGATGATTCTTTGAAACTATATGCCCTAATATGGAAAAGAACTATGGCTTGCCAAATGGAAGCTTCTAGAGCTGAGATGGTTAGCTATTCTTTTGCCTCTTTTTTTGTACTGTTATTTTTCACAGCTGTTCCTATACACTTGTCACTTTTCTTATTGTGGAGTGTTTCTTAATATGAAAACCATGGTTTAGATTAATTGGACTAAATATGTTCTAGCCTCTAATGACACCCCAACAACAAGAACACACTGAAGTAAACTGGATGGTACTGTCTATAGTTAGTAGGACTGCTCTATGAAATTCCACCTAAGAAACAGCTTTTTTTAGATAACGGGCAGCGCCCGGCCTCTGCATTATCAGGTGCACACGGCCATAGAGTTGTCAAAAAACAGCTGAACAGAGAAGAAACAAGCTTCTATGACTACATAGAGTTGTCAAAAAAGTGTAAGTATTTGTGAGTGTAAGGATTATTCGTTTGGATGTCTGTTCAAAATGTTCCACAAAGACATGTTAGTTAATAAAAAAAAGGTTGGTAGTGAATATGGATTTGTAAGAAGGTGCTTCTAAGTTGTAACCAAGCAAAATAATTCGTTCTGTAGACAAACGTTTCATTTCTGGATTATGACAGCTTTGAATAATTGTATCTGAACGTACCCATATTTCTTCTGGATAATAATCCTTCTATTTAACAGTTGCTAATTTGGTTTTATGAATTGCTGACACAAATAACACCGAAGAGGCCACATGGCAATGCTTGTTATTGCTCTTGGGCTAAGGCTTAGTTCGAATAGGCATACATAGTGGTCCCTTGGTATTCAAAATGAAGCGAGTCATTAGCGCATGATTAATTGAGAATTAACTATTATAAACTTGAAAAATGGATTTATTTGATTTTTTTAATAAAAAACCACACCGTTTAGCAGTTTGGGAAGTAGCTCATCCAAAATGTACTTGAGAATGCAGCCTAAATATATTTAATAGTAGCATGCTGGTGTTGTAACAGACAATATGTTGGCCTCCATTTTCTCTAATATGTATTATGCCAAAATCTCTGAATTTCCATGGTAAAAAAAAATCTCTTCTTTTTTTTGTGCACTATTTTTTTTTAATAGCTAAAAAAATCAATCAAATTTCATGCTTAGAGTTTATCTTTTCGTAATTGCACTGTAGATTCAAGTTGATATTGGTAATTCTAAAGGAGACATGATTTTTCATTCGTCTGCATCAAATCTTGACTTCAAGGGATACCAAGCTGTATATGATGTAAGTTGTACATTTTATGTATCTATGCTTCTTGCATCCTCTATACATTCAGAACATCCTGTATAGTTCACTTTTCTTTGCCTAAGTTTTTCTATATCCTGCCTCAACCTTTTAGGAAAATCTGTTTAATACTTTAATGTCTTCTAAATGCGACCGTCCACTTTCTTCTGTGCTTCTGTTAAGAAAATGTGTTACCTTTGGAGATTGGATGATCAAAATTGAGGACTATATTAATCTGTGCCTAACATTTACTTTAGCTTGCTTAACTCAGTAATGGGAAAATATGTTGCCCTTTTAGGACACGGAAGCAAGTCCTTCCAGTAACAATTCTGAGGATGATGCTGTTCATCAGGATAACTTTGAGGCCTTGTCCAAATTAAAGGTCAGCAGCTGTTAAATTACCTCAACGGTCCACTTCCTATGACTTTTTTGAAGCTAATGCTTATTGCTGCCTGTCATTGAACTATATCAGCATGTTATTGACTTATTGTTGCATTTCTTTTTCTCAGGTGAAGGACTTGATGTCTCCAGTTAACGTTCATCTTGCACAGAACTTTACTAAACCTCCATCACGTTATTCCGAGAGTGCATTGGTTAGTACTAATACCTATATGTTACTCTTTTATTTGTTCATTCTGAGCCATGCCTGCGATAGAAAAATGTTCCTTTTATTGGGCTTTCTCTGTAATTTAAGAATGTAAGGTTTCTTCCTTGGTACCTGCAGATTAAAAGACTAGAAGAACTTGGAATCGGAGGGCCATCCACATACTCTTCTATAATGAAAGTATTGCAGGTGCCATATTCCTATGACCCACTCTCTTAGATCATGATATGCCCAAAATATAACCCATTGCCTTTTTTCATTTTCATATATATGCTGATTTTTGGGTTGGATGTTATGAACAAACTATGTAGCTTACAGCATGTTTGTGCTGGGTTGCTTTGCTTATGTTCCTGTGGTGCTGCATATGCCATGTGGTGCAACACAGGTCATATGGTAACTGTTGGACTTCAATTTACTTGCATCACCTTGGACCTTTCGAATCCAATGGAAGTTGAGTTGTATGTGGTTTGCAACGTGGAGCACTGGGGTCAGCACATACGTGGTCAGCTTGGCATTAAGCTGTGATCTGGCTTTAGAGTTCTTTGTAACATAATCTAAATCTGGAAACCAGGAGATACTGTATCTATGATGTTTGCCTGCCATTGGATGCAAGTCCATCTACAAATATATGACATAAATAAGGAAAGGTTCATAAAACATATCAGCCGCAAGACCCCAACTTGGATAGGCTGAGATTGATTAGGATCATCCCTGGGCAAAGTAGTACAACATACAATTTCTTTTTCAAATGTACATCCAGAGATGTTTGTTTTTGTTGGGGTCAACCACAATGTTACATGGACAAAACAAACAGTTGCAAAATAGTTGGAACTTGCATCATCATTAAATTAACAATGACTCAAGCCACATGGATAACAGTGTTTACCTCTTGCTATTCAGGATCGTAACCATGTGACAGTAAAAGGTCAAGTTGTGCACCCCGAATTCCGTGGTCGGATGGTAGGTTGTTTGCTCCTTATGTCATTTCCTTTTAGAAAGGTCTTATTTGGCAATAACATCTACAATCCTGATCACACATTGAATTTCTGTTATATTGATTTAAATAAAAGATGATACCTCTAGCTATATGTATTACTTGATCATATAATCCAATTGTGCCAAAGCATAAACCTTGTAAGGAAAATTACAGGTTAACTATAGTCCCTAAAGTCTTCAAGGCACCTAAACTATTTTTTATATGTGTATATACGATTCTTTCACTTCTCGCATCAATGTTGCTTATGGTAACTTTAATTAATTAAGTTGTTTTATTTCTTCTATTTTTGACATATGTTAACTGCCATCTCTTCCTTAGGTCTCAGCATTTCTTACACATCACTTCTCAGAAGTTGCAGATCTCAGCTTTACTGCTAACTTGGAGACTGAGGTAGTGAACAATTCTCAGTTTGTAGGTTATATCTACATCCCCTTTCTTTCTTATTCTTGAGATCAGAAACCAGCATAAGCTGGCTAGTTACTGCCACAGATTTGGTCAATGTGAATCCCAGTAATTTTGCAGTTTGATATCAGTATGAAAGTTTAGTCACACTTGTTTCAGAAGAGAATCTTAAACCCCATGTGCATAGAATAGTTTTTAAAAAATGTTTGTTTCCTTGTCCGTAATTGTTCTTGCATTTGAGACACATTGGTGGTATTTTATAGAAATGTGAAAATGACTAAATACAGAAGTTTTACTTGAGACTGGAGCTTGTTTGGTAAGTTTTTGCCTGAACTTGAGACTGGAGCAGGGCTGTCCTGGAAAAGCGCTTTACACCAAATAACTGGACAATACATTTATTGTGTAAACCCCTCTACTTTGTGATGTTGTTCATATGCTAATGTGCACCCCTTGTCAATTCTTTTTAACAAACAATGTTGTTACTACCAGGATGTCATTTTCTGATATGCCCATTTCTCTTGCACTTTCTGTTTGAGCAACATCAAGCAGTGTATCTGACTTGTGTTAAAAATAGAATTGTTGGCATATTGATAAAAATACACAAAGAAAGAAAAGGTTGATGAATATATGAACATCTTGAATGAGATATGCTAGTATATATGATGTCAATGAAAGTATTCTTGAAAATATTCTTATCACTCTACGTCCACTGACATGGGCTGGTATATGTGAAACCATAAAAACTTGGAGATAGATCTAAAAAATCTGATTAAATTTTGAAATTTTTCTCCAAGTTTTTCCCATCATGATAACTTAACCAGCAATTGTTATATTCTTATGAACAGCTAGCCCGCTTCACTAGTCCTAATATGATAATTCTGAAGTTGGTATAAACATACTAATATCCCTTTCCTACTGCTTTATTAGCTTGATAACGTCTCTGCTGGATCAACTGAATGGAAAGGCCTTCTGAAAGATTTTTGGGAACGATTCAATAAATATTGTGGCAATGCTAGTCGCCTTCAAGTCAGGAAGGTACTACCTTTTTCACGTCTCTTCTGGAAGATTTATTCACCCTTGCAGCTAAAAAGAAAAATACTCCCTTTCCTGATTTTTCATAAGGTGCAATTGCCTTTAAAGATTCAAACTTTGTAATTTTTAACTCATGACTATATATGTTTGTTGACACAAAAGTTGTATTGGATTTATATTCAAATTATTTTCATATGATCTTGGTCTTCTACTCTTCTAATTTAACTTTTAGAAATTTACCTAATGGAGGGAGAATAATTCCTAGAACTGTATGACTACTGTCTCTAGTTATCAGATGATGCACAGTCAAGTTTATTTCTCTCACATGATCACATCAACTTTTGTCAAGACATAGCAACTGGGTTAAGGGTGTGTTCTTTACCACCTCTTTCCAAGTACTTCCTTGTTTTCCACGCGCATGCTTCCCAAACTGAACGGTGTGTGTTTTGTAAAAAAAAAATTATAGAAAAGTTGCTTTAAAAATCATATTAATCTATTTTTCAAGTTTAATTTAGCTAATGCTTAATTTATCATGTGCTAATGGATCGCTCCGTTTTGCATCCGGGGAGAAGTTCCCAACCTCCACCTCTGAACGCAGCTCAAAAGACTGGTTTCTGTGAGTAGGTTCTAAAAATTTTGATGGTTGCTAGGATGCTTGTAACTTGCAAACCCCACATTTCTTCTGAGGAATAAGATATGAGAAATGTTGGGCTATGATCTTGTTCGTTCTCCCTACAGATGCTTCCACTTATGAACTCAGGCTACTAGCAATGGAAGAAAAGAACTGCTAGTAAATACAATTGTGGCTGAGCCCATGTTCTTGTCCAAAAAGTGCCCGATTTGCTTTATTTTCCCTTTTCTTTCCAGTGCCCCATATATTACGGGTAGAGGGATATGGATGAAAAACGAAACAACATGGTTAACTCATTGAGATTTATATTACTGGGCTTTGGGTTTCTGCCTGATTTCCACCCACCTGCTCAGATTTGTGCATCTTTATACCAGTCATTACTCATTAGCAAATTGTACTGTTTACTATAGATCTGTAATCCCTTTAGCATTGAAAACGGTATTTTAACTAACTATCCACTTTGTTGCAGGTAGAGAGAATGCTTGAAGAAAAATTTGGTTCCATCCTCTTTCCTGACCTTGACAATGATAGTAGGATATGCCCTAGGTAATTCATCTCATTACGTCTAAGAAGTTGTTTTCTACTTTGTAGAAGGTTCACATTTATTTTGCCATAAAATATGTATGGTGCTATATTCCTACAGATTAATTTGGTATCGCTAACCTGTCATGCTATCCTTATGATTGCAATATCTGCAGTTGTTCTGAAGGAACTCTGAGATTGAAAGTAAGTAAGCATGGTGAAGGATATTTTATAGGTTGTGATCGACATCCGAAATGCAAGTATGACCATATGATCCTCTCTTAGAAATTATCAATTCGTTGAGTTTAATCCTTGCTATTATCCATGTTACTTCTGTTTATAAACTATGATTTAAGCATTTATTGTTTATAATTGAGAGCACCATGCGTACCAAACTTGAAGGTACATTGCTCGCACATTGTCGGTTGAAGTTGATGAAACTGAGGCATCTGATGAAATTCAAAGCACTTTTACACCTAGGTTACTTGGGGTGCTACCTGATTCTGATGAGAAGGTATATTCTAGTCTTATGGTTATCCTGCTTTGTTATTTTTCTTGTACAGAATGTTTATGATATTTTGTTGCTTGTTTTACAGGTATTTCTGAAACAAGGTCCTTACGGTCACTATATCCAGGTTGGAGAGGATATAAAAGGAGTGTCTCGGAAAAGAGCTCCTCTTTCTGAAGTAATTTCCATATTAATATGTTTCTTAAATGCAGAGCAAGCTTGTGTTTGGCAATTTCTGATCTACCTTTTTCAAGAACTCAACCTCAGCTATGATTCACCCTAATTTCAGGTGAAAGATATTGACTCAATCACTTTAGAAGATGCAATCGAGCTATTGCAGTATCCCAAAATCCTGGTATGCGCAACATTTTAGCTGCTAATTAAGTTCACGTTGATGAGCTGCCCCATGATGATATTGTTGTCTGATTGATGTCTAACAGGGAAAACACCCTGATGATGATCTTCCTGTACTTGTAACACATTCTAAATCTGGATTTAGAATCAGACACAGGAGAACTCTTGCTCCATTGCCGAAGGTACGTGTTCTAATATTGTACTATCTGTTGAATGTTGGTACCACACACACCATTATGATACTACGCGAATACAAACGCGCAATGTTTAGTTCTTTTGTGCTGGCGCTATTGTTTTCTGCTATACTACAATTGAACAAAACTTTTAACTGCTGAGATGCATATATTTCTTCAAAATTGTTTGTGACAGAGCGCAGACCCAAAGGAGATTACGCTCGAGCGTGCATTGAAGCTTTTGACAGGTAAAAACGTGATAAGGTTTGGTCGCCCTAAGGGAATCAAGAACCCAGAACCCCTTGAATACCATTCGTAAACATCTAATATTGTAAAAGAGATGTTTTTAGTCTAACAAGATCGCTTATCGAACGCGAAATTTACGGTGATTCCTGACCGGCATTGTTTGAAGCCATGGATTCCGCTTTCTTCCTTTTTTTGCCTAATCCTGAGTCGGCTTTTGTATGCTTTAGGGGTGTACGGTGAGTTTGATAATGTGGAGAGATCGTCACTCACACCGTCACACGTACGTTCACGGTGTGTAGCAGCGTACACCCTCCGTACCAACAAAAAAAAAATCCTTTTGTCCATATCAATCTCCAAAAGTTCTTTCTCGAAGCGGAGGGTGTAGGTGAGTGTGATCGTACCTGTGAGTGAATGGATGCAGTTCGTAAAAGTACTACTCACTGAAATGTGGGTTCCACAGCCCTTCAGATCCACATGTCAGTGAATACATGTAATACTGCAGGGGATCTTAATTGGTGAGTGAATATGACTGTGGTTGACAATGAAGATTTGGGCTCCCATCACATTTGTTTTTCCTTTCGTACACTACTGCCGAAACAAAGGCGAAGCATTTGCCCTCTTTTCAAAAAAAAAAAAATTCTGCAGTTGTATACAGCACAAAAGTACTTGCCAGATCATACACCCATAGGTTTTCATTTCTCTCTTGCGTGTGAAGTGGTCTCAAGCTGCCAACGTAGTCAGTCACAAAACATGATGCATTGAGCATAGATTTTGTTTGTCCTTGTGGAGTTGGGGTGAAACATTGAAATATGTTTGTTTGGGTTTAAGGTTTAGATTTGACACGGTGCTTGCATTTATAACTAATTATTCTTTCAATGCTAGACGATGTACATGTTGATAATGAGGCGTTTGTGATGATTTTGTCAATCTCAAAATGCGTTGGTCTGATCTCTATGCTTATAGGGGTTATGCTTGTAGGGGTACGATGTACGTTTATAGGGTGAGTGTAGATGTGTTTGTGAGCACTTATGTTTGTAATGTGTTTAAAAAAAGCAAAATATGAAAATATGAGCAATTGTTTTGTGGTTTAGAATCATTATCTTACTCCTTTCATTCTAAAATAAGTTAATTTCTATAGTCTAAAGCTTGTCCAAAATAAGTTAATTATTAATCTCTTATTTACCCACCCATCATGTTTTCTTATGAATAAAGGGCACTTTGGTCTTTTACCCTCAACACCAGTTTCATTGGGTTCTAGGAATCCATTTAGGGCTCATTCGGTTTTGTTGATTTTCAAAACATAGAAATAGAAAAAGAAAGTAAAAATAATATGGGAATAAATGTGCAAATCGGAGAATTGTAAAACACATGAAACTTTCGTATGGTTGCTCAACAAGCCCGCCAAAAGGATTGAAAACGTTAGATTGGACTGGTTTTTTTTTCACTGTATTTTCCCCCTAAAATTGAAATAATAGGATTTTTTTTTCTTTGGTAAATTCCTTTTGAGACGAATGGCAATTTAATTTCCATTTCAAATATTATATTTACCGTATTTTCCTTTATAATTCCTTTAAAACAAATGAGTCCTTTATCTGGTAAACTTATTGATGTGAGCGATTGCTTGTTGTCACTAATGGGATTTGACATTCAATGTGAAAGGTAAAAGGTAGCAATGTTATCATGTACTACCTCCGTTACTTCCTTTGTCCCAAATATAAGAATCTAGGACTGAGGACTGGATGGAACGTTTCATAATAGATATACTTCCTCTCTAGATAAGTTATAATAGAAATTGTCTCATCCAGTTTTAGTTTCTTATATATTGGTACGGAGATAGTACAATATACCCAATGAGATACCTATGTGTAGTTTACAGGGATCCTGGGACCTCATCAGGTAGATTATCTAATTCTAACTAATATATGTCATGATAATTAGTATAATCGATCAATAATTAGTTAATTAGTATGTGTGGGACCCCGATAAATTTTGTTCGGGTTCGCCACTGAATATACCCCCTGTCTTATCTCTTCTTTATATAAAGTTAATGTCCACTAAATACCTAATGCTTAACATGCAAACATAGTATTTTTAGCATTCCTAAAACCTACATGCAAGCATATCACATCAATCCATTAAACACACAAAGCTCAATATGCAAGCATATACTTTATTCTAAAACTAAACATACACATACTAAATCATTATTCTCAAATCATTTTCATAATATTCAATCCAAATCATTTTATTATTTCTCCATTATCTAACATATATCCCGCAACAAAGCGTGGGGCATTATTTAGTAATATAGAAACCTATAACCGGATGAGAAATTTCACAATACGAGGAATTTGGACAAGAAATTGTCCAGATTTATTGTAATATGAAATGTCCAATCTATAGATTACTATATTATGAGACGGATGGAGTAATGTTTATAACTAAAACTTTTTATATTTTAGAATAGAGGGGGTGCGGTTTTTATAGATATGTGCTATACTTTTGAAAGTAATGTCTAATTTTTAGAAAAAAAATAAAATATTTTAGTTAGCATGTATGGAGTATGTACCGTAAACTTACATGCACATGATATAATCACCCTACACAGAATCATTTTTCTAAGCATTCATCTAAGCACCCCTACGTACACAGGGATGCTAATTAGCGCATACGCGCTAGATTAGCAAGTTGCGCGTACTCGCATGCATGTCCCACCCTGCAATATTATAATATGCTTGCATGCATGCATTGGTCCCACACCTGCACATGCATCAGCATCACGCATGCATCAGCGTCACACACGCATGCATTTGTTTATCTAGTTAACATCTCAAATTAGTATCTTTTTTTCCTTTTTTTTTTCTTATCTTTTAACTTTTTTTCCTTTTTTCGTCTCTGCCGCGATTTTTTCTTTTTTTTCTTTTCTTTTTTGTTGACTACCGCATACGTGTTGGAGTAGGAGTTAAGATTTAAAACTTTCAACTCAAGATTTTTTAAATTTTCAACTCCGATTTAAAAATTTTTAAGTCAAGATTTAAAAACTTTCAACTCGGATTTGAAAACTTTCAATTCAAACTTGAAAACGTTCAACTCGGATTTGAAAACTTTCAATTCAGACTTGAAAACTTTCAACTGAAGATTTGAAACTTTCAACTCAAATTTGAAAAAATTCACCTAAAAATTCAAGTCAAGATTTTGAAAACTTAACTAATGTTTGAAAACTTTTAACTCAAATTTAAAAACATTCACCTAAAAATTTAAAATATTAGATTTAAATTTGAAAACTTCTATCTCAAAATTCAAAACATTCAAAAATGCACATGCTAACAATTAAAAAAAATCGAAAAGAAAACAGAGAAAAAAAAAGGAAATGTATAGATGGAGCCAAAATAGGAAATTAGAAAAAAAAAAGAAACGCGCAAAATAGAAGATTAGAAAAAAAAAAAAAGGAAACGCGGGATGCTGGCGCGCGCGCCGCACAAGCAGGCCCCCTACGTACATGCCCGTGAGCACTTCCATCGAACTGCTGTTGTTTTCGGCTTTTCAAGGTCATCGGCACTGTGTGTTGAGTTGTGCTGAAGTTGACGGTTTTGAGTTTGGGCTTCGCGTTCATTTGTCTCCTCGGAATAAGTTCACTTTAAATCTAATCAAACCACAAAACCGAATATCTTAACCCCCTAACCCTTAAAACCGGTGCAATTTTACTCCCTCGACGGTTTTGAAAGGTGGTTTCGCTGACGTGGTGTCTACGTGGCGGTTTTGACTTGGTTTTCTTTTCACGTGGCGTTGACATGGCGCTTACGTGGCGTTAGAAATAAAAAATATGTGTGGGACCCATTTGTCATGCACCAAAAGTATGGGTGGGACCCACATAAATCATCCTCTCCTCATCCTCCCCCCTCTCTCGTTCTCTTCCGTTCGGCGAGCGGCGGCCATGGGACGGGGGCTGGCGGCGGGCGGGCGAGGGCCGGAGACGACGAAGCCGTGAGGGCGGGGAGGGCGGTTGCTTTTGCTCGCTCTGTTGTGGCTAGCTCGTGAGCGGAGGCGGCGGATTCCAGCGGACAAGGGCAGAGCAGGAGGCGAAGAACGGCGGCGGGCAGGAGCAGGCCAACGTCAGCAAGGGAGTTGGGCGACGAGCGGAGGAGGAGGTGGGCGGCGTGGCCCACCGTTCGCCGCTGTCTCCGCTTGCCTGCTGTTGCCACCGCCCTTCCGTTGCTGATCCGCCTCCGCCGCTCCCTCGCCACCGCGCTCTGCACGGCCTGGTTGTGGCGGTGGTGATGGCGCCCGTCATCGCCGCCTCCCGCCGCGCCGCCCTTCTTCGCCTCCACCGCTCCGGCTCCCTGCACAAAAACGGCGCCGTCCTTGAGCTCGAGGAAGACGAAGGAGCCCTTCCCCTGCTCCCGCTCGGTCTTGACCTTTCTCGCTCTCCTTCCCTCTTCAAGCGGTGTGGCAACGAGGAGCGGCCGCGGAGCATGATTCCGGCGGCGGCGGCGGGCGGGTGCCTTTCTCTGAGCCGTGGCGTAGAGACCGGAGAAATTATATATCAGTTCTTGATTCATCTCACCAGTGATTGTCATGCAGGCGTCACCGCTGTATATCTCGGAGATGGCCAAGATCCGTTGTACATCTCGCTGATCATCAAATATAATCAAGCTTAGTTACTAACTAATGACAGATTGGAGTTATGGCAGGCTGCGGCGGCACGAGCCAGAAAAGCCGTCGTCATCGTCGTTGTTCCACTTCCACCCTGTGAAGCGTGGAGGCAGCCGATGCACCAACCCTGACCTGCCATCACATCTCACCCAACTGCCGCCTTGCAGCGTATACCGACACCGACAACGCGCTCGCTGGAGATCTTTCGGCGAAACAGAAACGACGACCGTGCCGGCCGTCATGGCATGCAGTAGCCGCTGTCGGCGTGGACGGACACCCAAAGTAGCTCGCCGTGATAATCGATGCCAGTCGCTTCCTCCTGCGCCTCCGCACGCGTTCCACCTCTTCCTCCACCCGGTCCACAGTGTCCTCCACGCCCGCCTCACCCCGTGCGCCGCCACGGCGCTCTACCTCGAGGCCGACCGGCCTCCACCGCACCATCGCCATCTCCGCCGCCAGAATCATGCTCCGCGACCGCTCGTCGTCGCCTCACCGCTTGAACAAGGAAGGAGAGCGAGAGAAAAGGCCGAGGTCGTCGTCGCGCTGCTCCAGCGCCCGCCCAGCTCCCGCCTGCCGCCGAGTGCGCTGGCAACGGCTCCGCGGGGAGGGGTGGGGGAGGCCGACAACAACCCGCGGGCCGTCCGTGGCAGCGGCCAAGGCGGTGGCCAACGGCGAGTCGGCGCAGACTCCATCGTCCGTGCCTCCGTGAGGGGAGAGAAGGGAGGAGGAAGACGGGGAGGAGAGGATTATGTGGGCTCCACATAACAGTGGGTCCCACTTTTTTTTTTGTGAATGACAAATGGGTCCCACACATATTTTTTATTTCTAGTGCCATGTAAGCGCCACGTCAACGCCACGTGGAAAGAAGACTGAGTCAAGACCGCCACGTAGGC